CGTCACCCGGCGCTTGGGGCACTTGCACAGGCCCATGGCGGGGCTGGGGGCAGCAGAACCCCGCGATGCCCCCAAAAACTCCGGGGCATGGCCTCCCCCTCCCCCCCACCCCAAACCCCCCGGTCCGCGGCCGCGGCGCTTTGGGGGACCCCGCAGTGCCCTCCCCAAAATCCGCGGGGATTTGGGGCATCCCCCCGCCCCCTGCAGCTCCCCCGCCCCCACCATGCGGGACCCCTGGAATCGGGGGGGTCTCAGGGGTTCTGGGCCCCGAGAAGATCCAGGACCCCCCTCGCCCTCCCCACAAGAAGCCCCCGGTGCCCGAGACCGCTCGGGACCCCCTGGGCTCCCCCCAGAGTCTCCGGGAGCCGCGAGCCCCCGCCAGACTCCCCTCAGCAGAGGCCCAGGGCCCCCCTTCGTCCCCTGCCCTCAAAGCGCCCCCGCTGCCCGAGACCCCTCAGGACTCCCCAGAACCCGCCGAGCACCCCGGGGCGCCACTGGGACGACGCCCGGAAACCCCGCCCAGAGGTCCCCAGGACACCCCAAGACCCCCAGGACGGTCTCTGGTGGTCCCCGGAGCCCCCCCAGGCCCCCAAATCCTGCCCCCCACTCACACGTTCCTATGGCGACGCGCTGCCCCGCTGGCGCTTCCGGGTGCGTCGCCCCTTGATGGCGTCACTTCCGGCCGATGTCCCCCGGAAGTGCTGCCCGTCCCCGACAAAGCCGCCGCACTCAAGATGGCGGCCGGCCCCGCCCATCGGTTTGGCGCGCGGCGCGGGGAGATGACGTCAGGCCCGCCCGTTCGAATGGCCAAGGCGGGAGCGGGCGGCGAGCGGCGCTCGGTGGGGGCGACCCCGGCGGGTGAGGGGGGGTCCCGCGGCTCTTTGGGGTCTGGGGAGGTCCTGGGGGGAATCCGCGGGCGGCGTTTGGGGCTGGGCTGGTTCCGGCGGGTGTTTGGGGAGGCTTCGGGCGGGGCTGTTGGGGGCGTTGTGGGGCTGGGGGCGTCTTGGAGCGATCCAGAGGGGATTGGGGGCCGGGGGGTTCCACGGGGGGGCTGTGGGATGGGGGTGTCGGTACCGGGGCTCCGGGCGGGCTCTGTGGAGTTTGGGGTGTTCCTGGGGGAGATTCCTGGCGGGGCTCGGGGCAGTCCCGGG